TAAGCCCCATATTCCGTGAGGCCATGCATGATCTTTGATCCTTGTAGCTCTGACTGTAGGAGGGTAGAAGTTGGGACCTGTGCCCTTATTCGCTGTGCAATATTACATGTGACCTCCCAGACAATCTCGTGAATCTTGAAAACCTGGGTGAACTTGCGGTCATTGTCGTTAACTGTTGTCATGAAGCTGCCGTTTCACCTGCGGGTTGATGTTGATCGCATCATTCTGAACGTCTGACATTACTTACTGCTACCTAAGCTCTTCTCCTGCTTTGGCCTCGCTTCTGCATCTTTCAATGTCAGTGACGTTGGCCCACGGGCAAGAATTCTTTTAGATTGATTCTCCGCACTCTGTCGCCCCGAGCTGTCTTGTAACACTTCCAAGTACATGCTAGATGGCACTTTTGTAAGCTAAATGCCAAGCTAAGTCGCTGCCAGAAGCTCCAGTCCGGCTTCATCCTGAAGTCACAGCATCAGCTTAGGGGCCAAGCAGAGTTTGCATGTCTCGGCACTTGCGGTTTGCGCCATATAAGCCATGTCGGAGCTTGCACAGCCTGGTCCTGCTTCGAAGTGGCGCGCAGGAAAGCCGCTAGTGGCTAGTGAGCTAGTTATTGCTTGGAAGTCCCAGCAGTTTTTCCGTGGATTACACGTTTAGGATGATCTGCGCTGCGGTGGCTTGCTGTTGTTCACAGCTGTGCATGGGGCCCCTGGACCGTACCGAGCCGTGGGGTCTCTGAATATCTCGGAATAGGAGGGACCTAAATCTGTACGTCCCCGCATGCGACCAAACCGCATGACTTTCTGTTGCTGTGAACACGGTGTGTCACAATAAGCACCTTTCCGGATCGCAGTTTCCAGTTGAGGATGTTGTTTCACCAGTTTTGATCGGAAAAAGAACTCGTCAAATGGCTGCGTCTTGATTTCTTATTTTCGATTCCTGCAACTGCCACGCAATGACGGATTGCAGTTCGGACGAAGGCAAGCAAGTTCTGCGGCTCCGATGTTTTCGAAGGTTGGCCAACCTCCGTCGCGAGTTCTGGGGCGGAGGGCGAGGGGTGGAGTCGCTCGGCACCAAAAGGGTTGTGGTCAGTGCCGCGCCTTCATGGGGGTCTCTTAGTTCTGAGATTTGCAGACTCATGTCCTGCTTGAGCCACAAGTTCATGGACCTGTCAGCCAACGAGGGACTGATGCTTGAGAGTCTGACGCGTGAGCTAGGGCCGATTGTTCGCAGAGTCCATGACAGATGCATCGCGCAGCCAAGCAAATACTTTTTTTGCCAGGATTCGGTCAGGTCTCTATGAGAACACAACTGACACCTGCCAATCCTGTGTCTCCGCAACATGCTGTGTTGGACTGTTTTGGTGGCTTACAGCTTTCTGGCCAGCTGCACAGGCCAATGCGCATGATCATGATCCTCCACTCTGTGTGAAGGAGTTTAGTCTCGCACCCGTCCCGAAGGTCCGTGGCACGAAGTGGTGTTGAGTCAGGCGATAGATTATCTTCAGGGCAATTTGGTTGGCAAGGGGCTCAGCGACTTCAAGGCAGTGGTCATGTTATTCAAAACCTTGCAAAACCATCACTGGGAGAAACCCATAAGTGCCCAGCTGCACTCGCGACCACGCTGCTCCTGCACGCTGCTCCTGCGCGCAAAGCTTGTCTTCCTCAGCACCTGAGCCGTGGACAGGGTGCCAGGACGATGGCGAGATTTGCGAGCTTTTGGATCGGTAACACTGTTTCTAATCCATCCTACCCCCCAGGGCTACAATGACATGTTGTCCTACTCTAACAAACCCTTACGTGGTCGCACGCGAGGCTGGGGACATGTTGTGGGGTCTATCACCATTGCTGCAGGGCCACGAGCCGAATGGTGGCCGACATCAGGGTGCACATGTTACAAAAGAAAAACAACAGCAAAGACTATCACCAGGTAGCCTGGGATGGTGTTGATATGAGGGGCCTTGTTGCACTGCGCCTTGCGCGAACCAGACTCCATTGTGATCCTAAACATCAACTGGGCCGTTCCTGTCATCGCCGCCGGGCCATCTGTGGCCTGTCCATCAGCACTGACAGCTGCAGGGCTTGCAGAGGCCAGATTCTTCTTGGAGACCTGGAAGAAGCACCGCACACGCAGGCCCCGCAGGCCATCGTCGAGAATTTCGTTGGCGTAGAAGGGTCCCGCTGCTGGTCTCTCTCTGAGATGTTTCAAAGCTGGCCCCGGAGTGCTGCCCGCGGAGGCGCGGCATCCCATGGTGCGCTGCGGCTCCCGCGACGGATCGACATTGAGCACGCCATGCTCACGAGAGGCGTCTGAGATTCTGAGATCTTGGTACGTGGGCGAGAACAGGCCTTGCTATTCCCGACGTGGTGTTCGCATCTTGCATCGGCACCAGCTTCAGCTCAGAGTCAACTTTAGCGGCTGCAAGTGGAGCCACTGCTTGAGAGCAAAAGATGGGCCCAGGCGGCCCAGGCCGAACATGGCAGACGCTCTTGGGTCCATGGTACTTCGCTCAGCCCAGCCAAGTTGCATTCCACAAGCCGAGCTTGCACATTCGGATTTGTTTGGGACGTCCGGGCTGTTCATTGCCTGTCGCGTATCAGCTGATGTGGAAAAAGCGTTTGCGCGGGTACAGCAGCATTTGACCATCCTTGATGGGACAGCTCAGTCTTTTCTGGCCAGAAGTCCCTAGTGTAGCGCCACTGCTGATTCTCTTGTATATCACGCAAGATGGCTCGGTGGAGCTCGGTGGGACTTGTCGTTTGCCGCGTGCAGGAGCTTATCTGGTCATTTCTCAATCGTTAATCTGGGGACAGGGGGCTCCGTTGTAGCAATCGAAGAATCGAAGACAGAGCTTGTCGTCAGCCTGAGGCATCTCGTGGGTCGTGTGCTCCGTGAAGGCAAGGCGAAGTTGAGAGATGTTGAGAGGGTCTTGCTCAGGTTGGAAAAGTCACTTCTCGACTCACAGTCGGACATCCAACCGATATTTTGTCACGCCCAGATTCATTCATTGCACCATTCCTAACGAAGCTTGACAACTCGCAAAGTCTAGATTTGAGACAGCAGTGCGCCCAAAAGTGCAGCTTCTGTTTTCGAGAACACCTTGTAAACAAAGTAGAAGCTGATCGGAAGGGCGCTGCCATCCGACGGAGCCTAGGGTCCCAGGCTTGGTTTTTGTGTTTGCGATCGCACCGTCGGAGACCTGTGAGCCATGAGCCACGCACCCTGTCAGATAGCCGAAACTTCTGAAGTGCAGGAGCTCTTGAGATGGTGACCCAAGGTTTTTGTAGACGTCGGAGCTCTTTGACCGGCCCTCAGACTTTGCTTAAGCCTCTGCACACTCCACCTTTGATTGGAGATCGTGAGGTTGTTGAAGGCGGGAGAGAGAGGTGTTGTTGCTGAAACGCACGGGCGGGGGCCACAAGCTCTAATTACAAACTCCAATGCCAATTCTGACAACTCTGCTCTGTGCCAAGCGGGTGGGGGGGGAAGGCTCGGTTTGCAGGCGGACTTACGCCCAAAACAAAAAGAGGTGCAAAAGCACATAGGTACATAGAAACATGAACAGACACAGACGTAGGCAATCATGAAGGCAAGAAGTCTGATAGAAAGGTGGTTCGCAGTGGTAGAGTGTGCGGCCCGTCCTGAGGCCATGCACACGAATGCCTGAGCAAGATACTCCTTGCTGAAACGGCGAGGAAGTGCGGAGGCCACAGTTCAAGCCATCTGAATTACCATGTTAGTAGATGCTTCTGTTGCTAGAGTGAGGGTACCAACCAGTTTAGTTCTGCTTTTCTGACAGGATTCTTCCACTCGCCAGGTTTCCGCAAGGTACTTGGAACTGAAACATGTGCATATTTGGGATGCACTCAGTTCCAAAGGCATCAGGAGCGATGCTGCGCATGGGGGCGAAGGCTTTCAAGGTTTACGGGTCTTCCGTTACCAGTTGCTTGGGGATTAATGAGGCTTGTACCTCGGAGGTCGCAGCGGGCGCATCTTCGTTGATGCTCTGGAGCCCAACGCCAGGAACTTTCGATCGACGAAGGCGAGGATTTGGGTCCATGCGTTGAGGTCCCACTGGCGTGGCAGTTGCAGAGGCTGAGGTTGAAATCTGCTCCGGAAAGGCTCAGCTCCTCCGCCTCCCCCGCCGGTGGCACCGGCGGCTGCGCCTTCGGAGGGCTGCCGCCGGCAACACCACGACGAGGGTCGACTCAGGGGAAGAAGGGGAAGTGGCATGTGGTGGCTACCGGTTTGGGAATGTTTGGGTTCGGAGCACCGGGGGTTGCAGCTCGGTTGTGAACCAAGCGTGCAGGCTACCTTGCACGGCACAGGGGCAAAGGCATCGCTGAAGGCGGCTGTCTTGGGCCTGAGTTTCAGGCTTTCGAATTAGAAAGTAAGCAAAGTCAGTCCTGAGGAAGACTCGCAGGAAGACAGTCTCCAGACATTTTGGGTGATCGTTGTCATGTTAACTCGACCAACCCTGCTAGCAATTAGTGAGGATCTTTTGCTGTGACTCGCGGAGAAAATTATAAAGATCTTCTGCGATCATGCATTAGGGGAGGATGTGCTTCGACGATGTCGAGCCTACAACTGAATGGTTCTTTACGCGGCCGTGGCCCAACTCTGTGATCCTCCCCAGCACCTTGAGTTCGCACAGTACGTTCACCAGAAACCTTTGCGACTTCTGTGTATCTAGAGGCAAAGCATGTTTCGGGGGCCCGAACACATGCATCAGCCGTGCAGGCCGAAGCTTATGGCAGGAGCCTTATGAGATCAGCCAAGACATTCTTGGTTTCTTCGAGGCTTGTTGATTCCGGCTTCGTGAACCACAGCCACGTGCGTAGGCAGGTATCAAGTCACGGGCTCATTCTGCGTGCATTCCGGGAGGATGCTGTGTCAAAGCTCTACGCAGAAATCACTCTGCTCGGGTTGGTAGCTTTTCAAGGTGCATTGAATCGCAAGCCGTGAATCCCTTCACCAAGGTGGCCTTTCATGGAGCTTCAAGCCCAGCACGGGCAAGATAGTTTCCTCGGCGGATGCGCGAAAGGAGCAGGCCGCATGAGTCGATATTCGCGACCTGCGACCGAGGCAGAGAGAGAAAGAGAGAGAGAGCTGCTCTGCGCTTGCACGCGCTTTTGTCTGCGGGGGAGTGAGAAGCGGTAACTAGCCGTACTCTACCCACCAAGTCGCCAGGCACAGAGGGGCATACACTCGTTACTGCACTCTTACTGCCGCTGTTGTTTTGCAAAGCTCCCGAGGGAAACTTGAAACTTGCTTGTGCTTCGTACTACCCCCTGAGTGCCAGGCGACCTTACACTAGTATACAACAAGGGGGAAAGCTCCCACGGCTGTGGTTTTGCTCCAATTGACCCCGCAGAAGACAGCCACTGGTAGTCGAACGCTTATGCTGCAGTGGTTTAGCCATTCTTCTGCTGGGGAGAGAGGAGCCGTAGGAAGTACGAAACATTGGGCTGCTGCGTACCACAGGGGGCGACTAACCTCAGTTCTGAATCGTTGTTTGGTCTGAGCCTTGGAGGAGCTGTGTTGGCACCGTACACTGCACCTGCTGTTGTTTGCACTACAGCTCCTCCGTGTCCTATGGCCGAGTGCAGCAAGTGGGGGGAGCTCCACCGTAAAGCTGTGATTCGTGAAGTTTTGGGGTAGGGTTTGGCCGGGGCCTCAGTTTGCGTCTGCTTTGTGTTGTGTGGGGGATGCCCTCCAAGCCCGTGTACAGCCGAGCCCGTCGGGGCGATGCTTCCTCGAGGAACCCAGAAAACCCGTGACCCGAGGGGGTAGGTGTCCGCCTGCCTCCTGGTAGAGAGAGAGAGAGAGATAACCCCCTACATCATAGCCCTGGCGAAAGAAAGAAAGAAGGAGAGAGAGAGAGCTGCTGTTGACCTATGTTCGTACCTCACTCCCCGTAGCCCAACAAGACGTTGGGTGGGCCTGGCGCCCGGGGACGTTGACCCGTCCCCATGCCCGGGAGAGAGAGAGAGAGAGCTGCTCTTGCCCCTAGCCGCCCTAGCCCTGGCGAAAGAGAGAACGTTCTGCCAGGTGTCCGTGATACGCCTCGATTCTTGGGTCTCTTGGCAGCCAGTTTGCAGAAGCGTCGCGAGATGTTCACAAGGAGCCATTGGGCCATCTCTGAGAACTCCCTCTAAGCCCCATCGTTGACCAGAAAGCCCAAAGGAGCATAGGCCTCCGATCTGAAGAGCGGTGGTGCTACAGGTGGGAGCACGCTTGCGGGCACAGGGGCGAGTGGAGGTCGGGTCTTGGAGTGACACCCAAGTGATATGAGGGGTGAGTCTTTTGCGCGACGGCCTTGGCTTCAAGCCTTTCTAGCGGCAGGTCTTGAAGATTGACGTGGAAGGTGCTGAGTGGGAGGTGCTTTTGGGAGCGGAGGCTCTTTTGGTCGAGAGGCGAGTGCTCTGTGTGGTCTTGGAGTACTCGCACTTCTGGGCCGGTGCTAGCACGCAGATCACTTTGAGGGGTCTCGCGCGATGGATGTCGAAGAGAGGCTACGACGGTTACCTCGTGGGCAGCCCTTACTTGATTCCTGTGAGTGGTGTGGACATGGAGTGGTGGCACGACCTCTACGAGGTCTGCGCAGCACCGGACTCCCGCATCTACCGTGGTCTGGCAGGCTGGTGCTGGCTCAACGTCGCCTTCGTCCTGCGAGGCTCCAGGCTTGCGCTTGCGGCCCAGAAGTGGCTCCCAAAGATGGGCGAAAAAGGCTTCTTAGGACCAGTGCTAGCAAGGATGACCGAGAAGAGCTCTCCCAGTCTGGTCCTGTCTCAGCGTCGCAACTCCTTCAGAGACGCTGCAACTATCTGCAAATTGCAGCTTCAGGAGAGTGTAGAGCTGACCATAGCTAGGCCCTAAACCCTTCAGTCGACCGTCAACCGCGGACGAGATAGACCCACTTTCCGATAGAGGAGTCCTCGCGTGACCCGTGGCCATGGCAAGCAGCCCGCGAGCGGCACTGCAGGCTCGCGTGCAGCCGCTCTAAGTCTAAGTGCTTCAGGCTTTCGGATTGAAAAAGGCCGGCCATACGCGATCAGGGCCTCCTGCGGACCAGAGCTGACACAATCGTGAGCAAACAGCTTCGATCACGCCTGCCTAGCGCAGGATCCAGAGGGTTCCTGCAGCGACGGCGAGGTGTGTTGCACAGCGCTCTTGCTGTGATGAGAAGCAGTTGAACTTCGCTCTTTTTGTGATGACGTAAGATTCTCCGTTGCATGCAGTTCGTCTTGCTTCTGACGCAAGTGTGGATAAATCATGCATTCGATTATTCTTTGTGCTGCTCTTCGAGCTGTGCAAGAGCGTGGTAAGAGTGGAGAATTTGTGAATCTGTGCGGACAGGAGGAGATCAGCCCCTGGAGCCTCTGGTGCGAGGAGGCTGAACAGGCCCGGCCCGTGCCTCTGGCTTTTCGGCTCCGGGGCCGGGCCTTTCGATTTCGGGAGACCTCTTCATGCCTCCTCCTTGCTACCTCAGAGTCCATTGGAGCTCATGCCATGTCGGGCAGAGCTTGCATCATCTTGCATCCTATACACTGAGCTTCAAGCGCCGGCACAGGAGGCATGCTGACGGAACGGTGTGTTTCCACGTTGAACGAAGGCAATGTTCTACATTTCAAGAGCACCCGTTAGTTGCAACCCCCATCCAGTGAACCCCTCGATTCTCCAGCTCGAAGCCTCGACGAAGGGAGTCTGGCCGCGGGACTTCGCCTTCCTCCTGCGCAGCCGAAGCCGGAGTCCGCGCCGCCGCCCAGGGAGCCTCACGCGCTTAGTCGAGGCTCATTTCTCTCAGGTTCGTGCGATTTCTGGAAAGGACTTCGTCTGACTTTGAGTGCCACCTGTACCAGTATTTTCTGCTGGTGCTCTAGAAGCCTTTAGCGCACTCCTCTGCATTTACAGTGCGGCTTTCACCCGACTTCTCACCTGTCGCACCGGCATTTTGGAACAGAGATTCTGCTTCTCATCGGCCACATGTTTACAGACCAGGAGGTCCGAGCCCTCATGCCACAGCCCTTCTTCTATTCGCATTCTCAAGATACAGCTGAAGCTTCTGGGAGTACATTCGGGAGGCTGTCAAGTTTCCAGTGTGCCAGCGTGCAAGATACTGCCTGCGCCTAACCCTTTTTTCGGTGCGATTCCTGAGCAGCACCATAATTCGAGCCATTGCGTGACAGTTGCATAGGTCCGCCTAACGACAACACCAAACAACGGAAAGCTTTCCTCGCCTCTGCAGGATGCCCCACCGGAGTCGCCACCGCGGCCCACTTTGAAGCTGGAAAGGCCATGGAGGCCTCCGCTCGTTTCTGCGTCCGCGTCTGAGCTCAACACCAAGCGGGAACAGGTCTACAAGAATTGAAACGGGGCAGCCCTTCCGTGACAACCCAAGAGTAGCCAAGAGTGCCGCGGCATGCAACACTTCTACAGAACAGCAAAGTTGATTGCACAAATGGCTTGGATGCCTCGGCGCAGAGCGCTTCCAGAAAGAGCGTGAGAGCTCAGCATAAGCATGTGGAATACATGAGCGCAGGCAAGTTCTCTCGTTGGCTCCTTTTGCGCATGTGGGGCACTCAGATGATGATGTCCACAACAGAAACGCTCCCTGTCATGCATGTTCTGTAGAGGCTTTCAGCAGGAGGAGGTAGCTTCGCCCTTCCAAGCCGGAGACGGTGAGACGCCATGGCATCGACTTTGCTTACTTTCCAAAGTCTCAGTTTTCTGCCTGCGCCTCACAAGCCCATTGCACTCCTGGAGCTGGACCCACTCCCTCCACCTCCACGAGATGGGTTTCTTGCAGATCGTCCCCTCTTGAGTGATGGAGCCGACGAAGCCGCAAATCGGCGTGTGCGAGCGCAGTCGTCACTGGAGTCTCGCCGATCGTTCTTCTCGGAGAACTTCCCGGACGTGTCCGGCACAGAGAACCACCCGCCGAACCGGATCTTGCACAACTTTCACACCGCCCGAATGGACAAGATGCTGGAGGCGCCCATCGAAACTTGAGCATTCCTGAGCTGTGCCCTGAAGTGACCCTCAGCTATTCTTCCACAAAATACCGGTTCAAAAGCTAGGAAAGAGCCGTGCTTTCGATCCCGACACCTGCGTCTAGCCAACATTGGGGGCCGACAGGCCCCTTTTCTGTCCGCAAGCCCTGGAAGGAGTTTTCGACACGTTCGGGCAGGTTGAAGCTGAAGAATGAGATTGCCTTGCGCAGGGCGCCGAGCGCTCCGGACGGACGGGTGCTAAAGCCCTCTGCCTCTGTGCGAAGGCCGTTGTCGCGGAGCCCTGACTGCACATGGAAATGTCTGAAGCTGTCGGTGCTACTAACACTGCTTTCTCGATATTCCAACCAAGAACACTGCAGGAGCATCACATGGAGGTTGTGGTAGTTCTGGTCAGAGACTGGCGCTTACGAAGGATAAATTTTCGGCACAGAGGGAGGGGGTGCCTGCAGAGGTGGCAGTAAACAAATCAAGTGCCATCTCAATGCAGCCCAGCTACCCCAAGCTTCAGTGGCCCTTCTGGTTTGATCAGAATGAGAGCCTTGCGATGCTTCGCCAGCACATGTCCACCTCCTGCAAGTCTTGCAAGTTAAAGATCCTGGCTTTTTGTCGTGTGGTTGGCCTCCTCTGCATATATAGGCCGGCACCTATCATGATTTTGAGAAGCATCTGAACTTAAAAACCAAGTCCTTGCATGTTATGCCAGAGGATGCACCAACCCTTGTAAGATGTCTTCAGAGGGGAATTCCCACTACAGGCTTATATTGGCCGTTCCGCCCATTCCGAAAGAAATGCGGCTTGATTCCTATATACAAGCCCACCTAGGGGCAGGGCTTGTCCACGCCAACGTTGCGTTGGCTCAGAGATTCCAAATCTTTCCTCGTGTTGCTCTGCAAGGTGGAGTCCCCTGACTAATCATTATTCTCAAACCTGCCTACTTGGGCCGGTGTTTTGACGCCCTCTGCTCGGAGGCCCCAGTTTAGACAAGACTCTGGCTCCGCTAGGGGCTGGTTCGACCTGTCTTTCGCTTGCTCCTTGCTGCATCATAGATGCAGCTTGGGGAGTTTCTGCACTCCTCAGCCTGTCGACGTGATCAGCGACACGAGTTGTGAAGCGAGCCGAGCAGCACTTTTTGTCTTGGGATTCGGTTGGTTTCTCGAAGAAGCATGTGTCTGCATGAAAGTCGACGCAACAAAACGCAGACCGCAAATTCTGCCCGAGTCTCATTGAGGTTGATGAGGAGGTTCTGTGGCGATGCACAGGCCCTGAAACCTGAATCCTGGACTCCGTGCACCTCACATTCTGTAGTTGTCATGTTGTCGCTGACCCACAAATTGAGACCCCCCAGGCCTTGATCAACAGCCCGGTATGAGCTCTAGTTTGCACTTCAGGCGTATATAAGTGTGGATATGATCCTACCAATGATATTGAACTTCAAGTAGAATGCCAAGGCTGCCGCGCAGCCGTCGCAGCAGACCGCTCCGCTTCTGCAAGAGGCAAACCGGAACGATAGGTTTGTTAGGCTATGGAATTGACAACTCGTCGAGATTCACGCGGATGCTGTGGTTTCCGCGTGCCGTATGTTGCGGATGGTTGGAGCACAGAGTGCAGTGCGGGTGTTCAAGATGCTCGGGAAGCTATTCCCGGCGCCGTTGCTGTGCAAGTGCTGCCGCTGATGCTGGCACAAGTGCTGGTTCTGATACACGACTGTTGATCGCGAATGCCCACTCGTTTGCAAGACAAGTCCATGCTGTCTATTAAAAATGACATGCTTGTGCGAGAGCTGTGGCCATTCTACGTTCTCCTGCTCATCTTCGTCCGATGGCGATTGCGATGGCGACAGGGACTAATAGGCCTGGTAGCAGGCATTATAATGCCTCAGGTACCATGTCCTCAGCAGCACTCGTAATAATGCATCAAACGATAAGATTCAGGATCATCGGGATACGAATCTTCACAGGAACATCAGTAGTTGCAGGACCAAGCGGAAGCGCTGAAGAAAATCTCAATCTCCGCTTCGCATGGAGGGAGCCCAGATCCAGCGTACCTCCAAGGAGACATGCCGGGGCCCCGAACTTGGAGCCCTGGAGCCTTGGATCGGAGATTCCGATCTCAGAGCTGTGTGTTCACGACTTCCGAAACGGCACCTTTGGAAAGCGCGCAAGTAGAGAGAAGCAACTACAAGCAAGCTCACCATCAAGGTGTGTGTGTGTGTGCGTGTGTGTGTGTGTGCGTGTGTGTGTGTGTGTTTGTGTGCTGCAGTTGCTTCTTTTTTTCCGGGGTTGGGCGCTTCGCAAAAGGCTTTCTTCGCGATTTTAACTTTCTGCTCAAAACAGACGTTTGTCAGGGCGTGATGAGAAGACGCCACATGCCAGAGCCTCGGCAATGGGTCGGGTCGAAGGTCCGGTGGTGTGATTCAGTCGCAACATTGTTGATCACGGCATCGGCATGGGACTTTTCAGTGTCGGCATGGCAGAGTCTCCATTGATGCATGTGAACGGCCAGGCTTTTGGCGAGGGCTACGAACAGAAGACTTTGCTCGCCACGTTGACTGCAAATCCGCTTCTTTGTAAGGCGGAATGACCTTTACCTTCGGGATGCCGCTCCCGGAATCCCGCATCTAGAGTGCGAGGCTGCTATGTGACATCAGTTCAACATGATATGGCGTGTAAATATGCTGTAAGGCTTTATGGTACAATATACTATTCTGTACCATAGCAGAGTAGAAACAAATATTAACATTCTTCATGCAAAATCATCCCGTAAGTAAGAGTAGTTGTCTATTAGCATATTAGCCCAGTCCTGCATAATGTTGATGTAGTATTCATATAAACATATAGCCATATAGCAATACCAGTCTTTTTATATAACGTTAGACGGACTTGTAACATATTTTACAGTATTGCCAAACTTCGAATGTACTATTGATGTAAGAGTTTGTTTTGTTTTACCTCAAAATCCAGATCATATTGAGTTAACATCAATATAAGACAGACAAATACAATGCTTGTATGACAGACCGCAGCCCCCGCCCCCTCCTGCACCCCATCCAACCCACGCCCCGCAGGCCCGAGAAAAAGAACACACAAAAAAGGCCAACAGTAATTTCCCCTCCAATCTTGCGAATGTGTGAGACTGTCAGACTTTGACCTTGGAGCGGCATCACGGGATCCTGGCAGCCCGCAGCCCGATGCTCCGATGCATGGCGAACAGCGCTTCACAAGAGCTCAGTTGACAGCATTTCGTGTTGTCAGGCTCGAGTCGGCTCGAGTCGCAAAGCCGTAGGGCGCATCGCAGCTACAAGGGCGCTCGGCATCCAGCAGCTGTGTCAACTTTGTACTTTTGTTTTGCGAGCGTTCGTGATCCAGGTCATGGAAAAGTCATGCAGGCACGTCGGCTCGACACACTCGCCACCAGGGTGACCGGGAAGCTCATGGAGGGTTCCTCAGTTTGTGGAAACCAAAAACATGGACTGTTACAGCGCTTTCCGTATCCCCTGGGCATTCGAGTGCAATCCTCATGTTGGTTGTCAAAGGCTGCAACCAAGGCATGCCTTAGGTAGGAAGCTTCCTTTGCCGTTGCTTCTCAAAGTTGAATGTCTTGTAACTGTATCTCAGGATACGTCAGACTGACTTACAGTTGCCGCTGCAAGGCATCCCCTCTCTTGGTTTCATGCGGAAGCAAACCATCACAGGACATGCCCTGTGTAAGACGCAGGCAAAATTCTTTAAGTTGCCAGTGCATTTTCCAAGATTCGTGAGCGACGACTGGATTGCCTCTTTGGTGCTGAGATACGCCAATATCTGCACAGACCACAGGACTAGGAGAGCACTGGACTTGTGACGGGAGGTTCCGTTGCTCCGGTCTTCTGAATTCTCGGCTGAATCGCCCGTTTGATGGCAGATCAATCCTGTAGGGCTGCACGACTGCTTTTCACGCCTTTTAATCAGTGCTCTACTCCGCGGCCCGAGCAGGATATGTGGCCCAGTCGATCCGTGCATGAGGGCGGCATTTGTCACTGCATTTAAACATGTCGGGGAGGACATTTTGTCAGGGTGAAAGCTTTCGAACATCTGGAGTTCTTCCAAGACTCGGCGGCAGGGCCAATTTGTTGAGGATGGCGATGTGCAAATAACGAAGCCGTTGTAAGCAGAAGGATATCAGTGTGGCCTCCCCCGACTGGGTTCCAAAACCACATTGAGGTTGAGCGGCAGGGCGCTGGTCTAATCTGTGAGCCATGAACATCTCGAACAGTCTCAAGCCCGGCACAGGGAAGAAAGATTTAAGAGGCTCTATGGCGAATCCACAAGCTGCTGCGAGACAGCGGACTTCCATGGGACCGGAAGCCCAGTTTTCTTCTTATCCGTAAGCTGGATTCAGCTCCATAGAACACCTCCCTGCTCACTCCTCTGGCGCCCGGCGAAATTCGCTGCACGACGCGCTGGGGCCTCGAGCGCCAGCACTGAAGACGTCTCAAGACTCAGGGCTCCGGAGCCCAACACATACGTGTAGAGCTGCTGCATTCAGGGATGGCTGTGAAGTGCATGCTGTGTAGAAGGAACGATGCTACTCGTAGCAGCTGCAGCAGCCAATGCCGTCCGAAATATCACTTGCACAAGGCGTCGCAGCATGTTTAAACGCATGAAGACTGACACGATGGCACCGCAGTTGTCGCCCATAATGCAGCAAGCATCATGATGGCATGCGTCGTAACACATCCAGGACCGCAGGACTCCCAGGGGACACGAAGTAAGAAGCCGCTCCGTTCGAAGAACTTGAGTTCTGTGCAGCAGCTCCTTTGTTGCCAGTTGCTCTGCAGCCTCTTCCAGGCGGCGAAGCGTGCGAAGCATGGCGAAGCCTTAGGGCCATGTTCGATCGCACTGAGCCCAAGGAGGACCGGGGCCGGGATGTGTGGGATGTGCTTCTGGCAGGAAGTGATCTGGCTTTCGGGGTTCCTTCTGCAAGGGCTGTCGGCAGTGCCTGCCGTGCGCAGTTTCCTCCCAGTGTCGCGGCTGTGAAACTGCAGCGGTGCGGACTGATTTGTTGCCCTCACTCTGCTTGTGGTGGCAGGGCACGGGGACGAGCAACGTTGGGTTCTGCAACATGGAGAACCCCAGGCTCGTCGGGAGGATGCCCGCGCGGCATCTAAGTGCTCAGCCAATCTCAGGGTTAATGAGTTAATGACCAGGGTCCATACCTTACTTGTAGGGCAGTCTCTTGCAGCGCTTCTAAGATGTTTCCATGTTCACCGGCAGCTCCTGAAGTGGAAGCTGAAGTGTGCATCCAGACTACGTGCCCCGCCGAAGAGACTGCGCCAACGGTTATGCCAACAAGCGCAGGACGGGGAACAGGATGGAACAGGGATTGACGGGGATTGCAGGAACGGGCAGCTTTCTGCTCCCGGCTGAGACATTGGGGGTTGAGCTTGGCCGAGCAGTGGGCGACTGCAGACGGCAAGAGTGCTTCCACTTTTTACAGCTCGTTCCACCATCAAGCGTTGATTTTGATCTGAGCCTCAATCCCAACACGCGTATTGTCATCCCATCCCAGAAAGCTTCCTCATCCCTGCCACGGCTCGCAGGACTCTTCCTCGACGTTGTCAAGAGGCACTCGCCCTTCGCAGGGGTTTTGCCTTGCGGTTTTTCAGTACAAGCTGGTCGAGCATTCCAGTCGCAGGGCTCTGGTTAGGAGACCACAGCACTCGCTCCCAGTATAAGGTTGTTCCAGCCGTCGCTTCTCAGCCTCGAGCGCATCACGAGTGAAGTTATCTTGCAACACACACACACACACACACGCACGCCCTCCTCGGATGATGGGTTTTCGCCCCACGTTCTATCATCGAGGAAACAGTCGTCAATGTCTGCACACGACGAGCATGTCGAGCACATGCACTCTGAATCTTTTCCATAGCCGCTTTTCTCCCGGTAAGGTTGCATCTTTGCCCAAAGGTATCGAGCGTTCAGGATGCTCTTTTCTAGACGATATCGCATGAAGTATGACTAGCCGGATCTTCTGGCTTCGATTGAAGTCCGTGCTGTGAACATAGCCCCTGTCAGTGACAGGGCAGCTGGATCCGCGAACAGACGGCACAAAGAGCACCCGGCTCGGTTTTGTCAGGGGTGCTTGTCTTTTCTGTCTGTACGGGTGCTTTGCGGACAGCCTCTCTGCAATACCTTGTAGTGCGCAAACTAGTAGTACGGGCCTCGATGAGCAGTGACGACCAGAGTCATGGAACCTGGGACATGCTCATGCCGAATGCTTGGAACTTGGAAGGTTTACTTTCCAGCAAGGTCCAGGTGACAGCCCTGTCGCCTATCGAGATGGCCATCGAGTACTTTGTGCGTCTGGAATCAGAAGCCGGAAACGACGCAACGGCTGTAGCTCTGGTTTTGACCCTTCGAACCTCAGCATCAACGAACAAGCGAGCGCAGAACACGCTTGGGCTGTCGTGCAGACTTGACAGCACTTTGTGCCGCTCAGTGCGTGCAGGGAAGGCGTGAAACCTACATGACACCCTGTCTACAGAAGTAGCCCAGCAGGCCGTTACAGCTGTCGGCATCGGCTGAGGGCTATGGCTCATGACCTGAACCTTTTCAGCACATTTCGTCAGAACCCAAGCAGTGTATCATGTTGTGGGGCTCATCCAGCATCCTGAGGAGACGAGTATCAACTCTTGTGAGAACTGAAGACGTTTGGTCCGGATGAGGCTGTCCTGACAGCTCGCTGTAGGAAACATCATGGACTTCATGGCATCTGTGAGTTTCGAGTAGCCAGGACCGTGACAGAATGCGAATCACTTCCCGGTTTGCGCCCCAGCTGCGCTCCTTGCCAAAATCGTCGGCTCAGGAAGGTCAGCAAAGGTTTGCGTGTCAGGTTGAGGGGGGATGGCTCCCGGACAGCATCCTTTGAAGTTATCTTGCGCTGCCGAGACTTCATGAGGTGCCTCCAAGACGGTGCCACTGCTGCCCCGGCTTGCTATTGGAGTTGCTGCGCTTGCCTGCTCACGGCTGCATTCGTGTTGGAAGGCTTGAGTTTCCATGTGTGAAGGCTCCCTGGTTCTTGCCATCACCTTGTCACGGCTTTTGAGAGAACTTGAGTCTGCACCCCCACCCCACAGTCTGGCAACGCCCGAAGTGCCAAGCGCCGGCCCGAACTGAAGCGGTGAAGCATGGCAAATCCTAAAGCCCCGCTTTTGGCCAGAGCGCGCCTGCGTGCGGTGGACACGGGCGAGGCTGCGGCGACCTTGGCTCAAAGGGGCCGGCGGGGACTGACTTTGAGATTTTGGCACATCGAGGAGTGTCGCGGATTGCCTCTCCAAGCCCTCTGCACCCGGAGCCTCTCTGCAGGGAAGAGTCGGGAGTGTAGAAGTGCAGGTCGGTGCCATGGCCTTGCAATCATTGCCGTCCTTCCAGGCCCTCAGCTCTCTGCCAGCACCTAAACAGCCGGTTGCTGAAGATCTGGATCCGCGACCGCTGCTCCCCGCCGTCACACCTCGAGGTGAATTTCTGCCAGTCAGCCCCGTTTCGAGTGACCGAGACAGAGAAGACCGGCGTCGATGGGCGTACGTGGATTCAGAGGGCCTAGGAGTGTCGGTGGAGCGCCGGTCCTTCTTCTCGGAGAGCTCTCCGGACGCGATAATGAAGCCTCCAAATCGGCTCCTGCACGATCGTCACGCAGCCAAGATGGAAAAGATGCTCCAGGAGCCATCTCAGGAATCTAAAGCCGTTTAGGGATTGGAGTCTTTGCTCTTCGTGGTACTTCGCTCTAGCTGCTGTGTGCATTCCCTCCCTGGAAGGAGATATCGACCTTTTCAGGCAGGGTGAAGCTGAGACAGGAGATTGTCTGGCGCCGCATGTTTCCCGATTACAAGTGAAGACGCCTTTCTCGAAGCAGCATGTTGTGGTTTCTGCTTTGAACCAGGAACCAAACATAAGCTGCGTACTTGTGCGAAGTCGATCGGCTGAAGTTGCAGTCAGGTGCCCGACCCAGCTCTCGTTTGTTATCCTTGGGATCCGTCTGCTTCAGAGAGTGAGCGGCCATTGCAAGCTATTGGTGCAAGCCTTTGTTCGGTTATGTCGTGCAGCAGACACGGCATGTCAGGGTCACTGCAGAGCATACAAAAAAAGACATAAACTAACGCCATGTCTTTGCATGGCCGCTTTGGCCAGACGTGAGTTGAATGCAGGTGCAAGGCCAATAATCCTTTCACCGGCATCGTGCAGATTCAGAAGTCACCTTGATGTATACGCAGTGTTCACAAGACATTGCCGAAGTCTAGGTTCCTTAGATCATGCCAGCGCGAAAGCAAGTTGGCGCGCATTAAATGGTCAACGTGTATTCAACTCGTTTTGGACATGGGGCCCTACCAAAGCAGCCTTGCCATCAGCACCAAGACTTCTGGCTGTGCGGCAGGTCTGTGTTGGGAAACGATTCTGGCGAGTCACGTATGGCCATGTTTGTTCGCTCGAAAGCTTGCGCATAAACAAAGATGAGATGTTCTGCTAGCGCTTACGCATAAGGTATTCACTTAGCTCTATGCCCTGCTGACGTGCTCAACGCCACGTTCGATGAGTTCCCTTAGACGAAGAATTGCTAAAAGGAAGATCTGCACGGCGTAGTGCTGTGACACCGATGACACCTTTGTCAATTGGGCAGCAAGCAAGTATATTCGACTGGCGATGTCTAGATCCAGATTAGTCAACTCTTACGCCCTTTGCTGCGAGTTGTTGCTTGAGGCATTCGCCAGCGATATCGTGCGTCGACTTTTAAGGCCGTTCATGGTCTGAGCCCTTAATCATCGCAGTTTTTCGCATGACTGAATCCTCCTTCGTTGGGCTACGCAGGGGGCCGACACCATGGAAGCGCTCTTTTCCTTGCTAATCTCGGCGACTTGCGAATGAAGTGCCTATGAGATTTTGCGCAGCTTCCAGATCTTCGGCCTCAGGGTAATCTCGCTAAGCGGGTATGAATAGGTGGAGGCCCTGTCATTTTCCAGACAAGTTGCCCTCTCATCAAAGGCTGCCCAGCCATGGGTGGCTCTTGTTGGAGCTCAAGCTCACTGTGAGATTGAGACTTTGTAGCCGATTTAGTGTTCGATGTGTTTGAACGGTCTCCCGACCGTGACCGTGGCACAAGGGTCAGTCGACCTGCCCAAAGAGCCACGCACGCAACACGGACTGCCAAGCGCAAAACAGCCGCAGCTCAGAGCTCGCAGTCGTCGAGTCGTGGGTTGGATAGCATCCAAATAAGCAGCTCCAGCCTAGGCAGATCTTCACATAAGATTTCAGTGCATTGGGGACATTAATTAGCCACGTGACCCAAATGAAGCGATGTACGGCGTCTTCTCCGACCTTACCGTTGCCAGAGTTGAGAAGTGCAACGAGGCCTGCCTGCGAGCGCTTTGCAAATTCTGGTAGCATTCCTTCCGTGCTGACCAAGGATCCGGAAGGCCTGGAGGCACCTGCAGTGATGGCAGGGCCTATTCCCAAGGTGGGAGACTCGCATGCAGGGCCGGGCTGTGATGGGCAATGTCAATGATGGGCACTTCAGGCGTCGGGTAGATTCCAGGTTGCGAGGTGGTCTCGATTTACTCTCGCGACCCCTTGTGCAGACTTATCCTCGTGGTAGCCTTTTCCGTGGATCCTACGGCAACAGCCACATTCGCGCCAGGAGAAAGCACAGCCTTTGGCCCCTCAGGCGCGGTCGCCCTGTAAGTGTATTGGAGCAGCCTCGATGCACTGGATTTTTTGCGCCCATGTTGCTCCCCATGCCAGAAGCACAAGAAGGTGTGTCATACGTATACATGCCACGTGTCTGCTGGTTCGGAAACTTGGCTGTTCGCCTTATTTCACGTGTCGAGATGTTTGTTCTTCCGCGAAGCTGGAGCAGGCGACCAGCACCTATGTCCCGCCAGAGCCCTAGAGCGGCAGACAGCCCTGAAAACGAAATGAGATGAAATGGGCAAGCCCCGGATCGACTCCAATCATCTCGCATTGCAGCTGACGATGTTGAGGGACCCGGGAGAAAGGGTTGGGAGTCCATGTCCAGCATTTTTATGCAATGGTTTGGAAAGCAGGCTTACGACGGCTGATGCGCCAGACCGGGTACGCCGGGTATGTGAAGTCGGATCTCCTTCGATTTCGAGACGCTTGAATGGGTGTCTGAGTCCACTGAGGCCAGTTACTATCGATCCGACCTTGCTGTGGAGTTCGCGGGGCAAGCCTCTGCCGTGCCGAGCTCGGGCTTCGGGATTCTGGATTTGGCAGTGGGAGTGGTCGCTCTCACATAGCAACGGCCACGCTTCATGCCTCCGGCTCCGTCGCCGGCTCCGTCGCGTGTCCATCCACATCGTGCGATCAGGCTTGCACGTCAGCCATGAAGAGAAAGACTCTTCACAGTTCACGCGACGGTCTCTTGAACTAGGTCTGTTACAGACCTTTTCCGGGACCTCTAACAAATCTCTAGATGGGTAGTTGGAGCCCTTTGAAGCCCGCCTTCACGTCGCCTTACATCTGTACGTGGTGATGATGATGCTTGCTTGTCGTCCAAACGTTTCGTGCAAGGGACTTGCGTGGTCGCCGATTGAGAGCTTGGGAGAGTTTCTTGGAGCGTTCCCAGGCCGCTTGTAAGAACGGAGATTTGATACACAAGCTGCGCGTTCGAGCATCTTTGTTTCGCCTTTTTTAACTGTGGTGCCAAGGGGGTCGCCCATTCTCGGGGTACAGGTGAAGAAGCTCAAGCCTTGAGATGACGCTGAGTCTATCTTCGGGTCCTTGCAGCTCCGAAGATGAGCGATCTTTCTGTCATCGGGCCGCCCGGTCCAGCATTCTGAGTTTCCATGCGAGCTTAAGTCTTCCTGGAGAAGCTGCGGCTTCGTCCACGCACCGGTGAGCCCGATGTCATCAAACTCTGTGCTGGACAAGTCGTGGCAGGATCGTGCAGCAGTGATGTGGTCTGAGTCTAGAGTCTAGAGTTCAGTTCTGGATGCTTTCTGTCTACATCTGGTTGCCGCTCGTGAGGGTTTCGATTCGATGCATCAGAACCACTAGCTTTGGATTCTTTCGATGAGCAGATACACGCAAATGCCGAAGAAGCGCGAAAGCCTGTGGAAGCTTTGAACTTCCCACTGAGGCCGCGGAAGAGCAGCTCGAGACCCTGACATGCTTCGAGCAACGCTACACTTGTAGGTTTGGCCTCGTTAAGCTGTTTGCAGTGTGTTAGTGGGAAAGGTGGTTTCCCGACATGCTGTCTCAGAAGAGTCTTAGTCTTTGCGAAGTATCGAACGCTTGTGAGGAGAAAGGTGAGAGCTTCAATTTAGTGCGCGGTCTTGCCGCTTCAGCTTGGCTGCACACGAGAAGTTGCCAGCCGGGCATGTTTGGGGTTGCGACATGTTCAGCAAAAGGAATAGGTGTCTACTTCAACAGGTAGCTCATGATGGCTCATGAGTCGCTGACGGGTTGGCCTTCTGTGGTTTGACATTCCTGTTACTTTCCGGATGAGCGGTCTCTTGCGACTGACAGACGCTGGGTCACTTCAGAATCCAACTGCTGCATTTCAAGCTCGAGCCAAAACAAACACCATCCACCTGACAACTGCCCCTCACCCCTGCAAAGTGCACACAAAGTAACTGCCCCTCGGTCGAGGCCTCAGCTTCTGTGATAGTCATGACTGGTAGTAGATTGCAGCAGTTCTACAAGCAGAGGCAAGCACCTTTGACCAGAGAGGGGATGTGTCTGACATTTCGAAGAGAGAAAACGTTTCAAGTGCCGTACATTCTATGGTATGACGAGTGGTGCTTGCCCAGGCTGCGGGCAACTCGGCACTACCTCGGCAACTAGGAACTTTCCGCCGAAGCGTCCTCGGAAGGGTGGCTGTGCATGCCTTTGATTCACCGACACTCTGCGTCAGTTAAGGCCAATCCATCTCCGCTACCGCACTCAATCCGGATCTGGGACAGGCACGGTACGTGCTAGCAGTGCGACTGCCACCGCAACTGCAGCTTGAAGTACGGGACTGTACACTGCGGCACCTAGGTTGAGCCTCCGGATGCGTTGCTGACTCATCAAAACCAATAGAATCAGGTAAGCAGAAAGTCGGATTCACCCTATGCAGCCGTTGGTGATTAGGATCCGCCCTTTCGGCATGATTTGAGCGACGGAGCTACCATGTGGATGCAGAAGGGATTTCAACTCCAGTTACCTGTGGCAAATGTCTCTTCATGGACGAATAAAGAGCCTTGCCAAGCAACCCATTTTGGTTGAGCTACGCGGGCACGAGCAGAAACTGTCAGGACAATCATGATAAGGTGCTTTTTCGACAGCATGTTGGCGAAATGCCATTCCCAAGCCGTTGTTTGCCTTCAATGGTGCCTCCTCAAACACAAGACAAAAGCTTTGGCTAGACTGCCGGACAGTGCGTGCGATCCAGATTTCGCGTGGGCTGAATTGCTTGGGAGGCATACCCAAAGGACAGGCCATCCTGACGAGTATAACGAGTAAACAAGCGGACACCAGCAGACATCGAGTTGCCCAACGAAGCTACGAGATGTGGTTAAAGCACACTAGCGAGTTCCATCTACCAAACCTCTGGAATTGAATTGGACAGACCTGCTCTGCACGCCGAATTCTGAGTCTGCAATGCAGTTGTGCCACTGCTAACCTCGCTCATAACAGCGCTGCATGGAGTCCACAATTACCGCGGCCGACCTTCACAGTTCTGCAGCCTCTACACCCAAGACGTTCTCTAGAACCCAATCATAGACTCACAGGCCATCTGCAACGAATCGGATCCATGCACAGGCAGCCTTGGCCCCCGCACACCACATCGATAGTAGTGTTCCTTCGTGCAGGGCTGCTGCACTTATCGGCCGGGCAGCCGTAAATTCCGTTGGGCTGAAAAATGCGCTGAGTTAGCGTTTCAGTGGCTCCCCTACACCCCGCACGCTTATGATGCATCTGTGAAACTTCACAGGCTGGTGCGGTAGCTCTACACAATCTGGGGCACGGCTGCTAAGCAGGGCAGACCAGAAAAACCTGCTCCCCTGCAGCCACTACTGCGCGACCGTTGCAGCCACCTTGGCATCCGCCATCATCCACTAAGATTTCTGTTTCAATCTTTTGCACTATCGTCCAAAACCAAAAGTTTGTGCATTTTTGCATTCCTTCAGCAGGCTTGGTAATCTTCACTCACGAAGCTACACAATGGATTGCACTGAAGACTAGGGCCGTCGCATGGTCTGTGGTTGAGTTTGAACGGTTGTGGCTTGACACACCCGGAGCTCCCAGGTTCTCCCTCCAACAAACCCGACGGGTAGTTGTAGCTGTTGCCGCCCGGAGGCACAGAAACCCTGCTAGTTCTTGCAACCTCAAAGTGATATCGTACTCAGTTCTTGCGATTGCTGCCAGGCGTTTCGACTTCAGGCAGCGCATTCCGAGGATGCCGCACTCTCAGCCAGAAGATCGTCATTTTCAGGTGGAAGCCCTTTAAGTTGCGACTTTCGCATTTATAGCGTGCTGGTGGTTTTGGACAGCAATGTTGCAGTTCTGCTACACGCTGGTACTCGGAGGAGTGATCAGTAGACATGGTATTGCATTGTGACAGACAGACTTTGCTTGTATGTGCACGATGCTGAGGAAAGGAAGCAGCATTGGCTCAGCCAGCAAGGGCGGCGAGGGCAACGGCTCTTCAGGCTTTCCATCTTTCCGAGCATACTTCAAGCGGGCATTCGTGGCACGTGCTCCGGTGAGACCCGATTTTGAAGCTCGTATGAGGATGCTTGGCAAGTTGGCATTAACTGCTCAGTATAGCCTTTCTAATCGACATCACCCGGAGAGCATTACTGAAGGGGAAATCACTCCAGCAGCTTACGATTGAGATTGCTGATGATTGGATTCTGGATCGACCTTTCTCCGCAACCGAGTCAGCAGCTGGTGATCTCCAATAAATCTACATAGGCACACAGCCAAAATGGTCAGTCTCAGAAACGGATCCTTGCCTAGACAAAACGCTAGACCCCAGGCCCACGCAAGAGCCCTGGAACCACCAACGTGTCCATGACGTGCCTTGGCGAAGAGGGTCACGGTTCGGCTTTGAATGGCACTTCGATTCTGACACATAACATGCACTTCCGGGAGCACACACACTGTTGGGCCCATTTGGTTGAGCAGAGTCCCAAGTCCAAGTGAGGCATGTCATGAAGTTCCTGGCCGGTGATGCTCTGGCTTCAGCCATCATCGGCCTGGATCTCAGTATGTAGCGGGAAGCCATGTTCTGTGGAACTATTTGTTCAAAGTCACGAAACCGAGCTACCACTCCATGACGGAACCCAAGGCCTGCCTGACTGAAGCTTGAGCATGGGAAAGATGTGCAAGCCAAGGCAAGGGCGGCGCCGTGATCACGCAAATTCGCACGAGCCGCAACCACAGCAAAGAGATAAGACGAGATGTTACGATATCCAAGTTCCTGCCTTGCCGTTGCAGTCACTGAATACTGCCGAGCACAGTCGCTCCGAAACTCCATTTCGTGAATGTCCCAGATTGCAATGCGAAGCTGGCGCTGACGGACAAGGGACAGGTGCCGGGCTTGGTTCAGGAGACTCCACAGCCCTCGCCATCCCTGTGATACTGGCAGCGGTTCCAGGCAAGGTTGCTCTGTGCCGAACGCCAATCTTCTTGCGACATATCATGCATGGTCTGCCCGAGATTGGAAGGTTCAGTGAGATCAAGCACGTGATTTCGAGCAATTCGACTGCTCTGCAGCACATTTTGACACCGAGGTCTTTCCAAGTACCGACTGCCGCGTTCTCACCGCGCAGGCGGCTCTTAGAGAGGTGAAGGGCCTCAGGAAGGCTTCGGTTCCTTTCGAAGGCACGACGCGGTGCGAAGCACCGTCAGTTGGCCCTTGGGCCCTTGGGGGATGTAAAGGAAACGACGTAATCCATGAGCCTTGGGCATGGAATGGCATGGAGAAGTTCTGAGTCAGGCCAACTCGGAGGAGGAGCTGAACGAGGAGACCTCCCGGGAGATCTCGGTAGCAGAGGCAGAGGGCACGCTTCCTGGCCCTCTCTTGTCAGGTGGCGAGGCAGATCATCGAGAAGCTAAGTGAGCTTGTGAAAACCAGTGGCGCCTCGGAGGCGCAGACTCGCCGCTGCGTTGTCTCACTTTGCACGTGTTCTTGAGACTGTGAGGGCAGGGGGTGTTGGGGCATGTCGGGGGGTCGGGCCCGGGTGATCTGAGGATCTGTTCTGGTGTCAGGGTTGGGAGATGCTTGTGCACATAATGTAGAAGTCCTCCTATGTGCCCAAGACATATCATGTTGTTCCACTCGCATCCCCTTGAAGCGGATAGCAGAGTTGGCAGGCGTGTGGCTCCGATGGGGAGCTGAAGTTGAGGACGCTGGTGCGCCTGTGTTCATGGCATTCCTCGAACGTTGTCGATCCCTCGAGTCACCAAACATCACCAGACCGCCGGACAGCTTCCTAAAGTTTCCTAAGGCTGTCCGATCCGGAGTCCGGCACTACATAGCCGGAAATGCAGCAATGCCGATGCAGCGGAGCACATCTATCTATCCTTCTATCTATCTATCTATCTATCTATCTGTCTCTATCTATCTATCTATCTATCTATCTGTCTCTATCTATCTATCTCTCTATCTATCTATCCATCTATCTATCTATCTATCTATCTATCTATCTATCCATCCTTCAATCTATCTATCTATCTATCTATCTATCTATCTATCCATCTATCTATCTATCCATCCTTCAATCTATCTATCTATCTATCTATCTATCTGTGTATCTGTGTATCTATGTATCTATCTATCTATCTATCTATCTATCTGTGTATCTGTGTATCTATGTATCTATCTGTGTATCTATCTGTGTATCTATTTATATATGTATCTATCTATCTATCTGTCTATCTATCTATCTATCTGTCTATCTATCTCTATCCATTTCTATTTCTCTCTATCTATCTCTATCTATCTCTATCCATCTCTATCTATCTAAGTTCTTACCTATCTGCTATCTACCTACTTATGTCAGTCTGTCTGTCCGCCTGCCTGCCTGCCTGCCTGCCTGCACGCCTGCCTGCCTGCCTACCTGCACGCCTAGCTGTCTGTCCATCTATCTATTTGTCTGTGCATAATGCTTGGCTATGTTCTTCAGACCCAGCACTTTCATGACAACGGTCACGGCTGTCAGGTACCCAAAGCAGCCGTCGGTGGCATCATCGGTGCGGGCCGCCAGAGGGGTTGGGAAGACTCTCGTGTTGGTTTGACATATCATCGCACTTGTGGAAAGCCTCGTAAGGAGCAGTGGCCCCGATTCGTGCACTGCGATTGAAGCGCTCACAATTTAAGGTCTGGGATTCGAGCACGCATGATTCAAGCAGTAGCAATTCAAGCCCAGCCAATTCCAGCACTCGACGTCCTAGCATTCCCTAGCGTAGGGTGTAGGCCGCCTTGCATTGAAGATTTTCAGATTTTGGGCATAGGTTTCGGGGAGTCCCGGTGTTTAGTTTAGGGTGGGTTCTTAGAGCTTCCCGTTTTCGGATGTTCGGCGTCTCGGCAGTAGGCCGAGTGGGCCCGGCTCATTGAAAACAGCAACGGCAACCCTTTGAAACTCCTGGCTTCCATTTTGCAGCGCTAGGGCGGCAGAGGTGTGGCTGCTTTTGAAGCGGTTCAGTGAGGATATTGCTGCTCAGGCTTCTGCGTTCTTATCAGATTTCCTGGTCTGGAGTCCAAACCATCCCCGGACCGTAGTTCCATCCAGTCAGACTATCAATCGGAACTCCTCCGGTGCACGAATCGTGCCGAACCGGCCTCTTGCTGTTCGTCGCAGCTGGAAAAGGACTGGTGGTCTGCAGGCAAAGAGAGAGTTTCTTGCGGCACTCGGACTTGCGGTGCCTGCATGCGAAGGCAAGGGCGGGGCGGCCATCAAGCAGATGCGTGAGACCAGCGGTGCGAAGATCAGCATCGGCGGCCGGGCTGGGGCACTTTTAAGCTTTCTAGGCATTGCATGGATCCATGAGGATCCCCTTTCCATGTGTGAGCTTGGCTGTGTCTGCGCCTCGAATGCAGAAGCCGTGGGCGCTGGGCCTGGGGCCGAGCAGATGGTCACCGTCTCTGGCCCTGAGGAGGCGCTTCGCCGGAGCCGGAAGCAGTGAGAGAGTCAGGGTAACTGTTCCTCGGAGTTTCCAGCCAGCTTAGAGCACGATCCAGCACAGAGTAGGTCCTCACCACGACAGTGTTTAGGAGCCCACTGACAAGCTTTCCAACCTCAACGACAAGCTTTATTCTTACACTGACAAGGTTTTAGGCTCAACCCTAGCAATGTGTGCTCCTGTGGACTTGAGTTAAGAGCTTTGAGAACCTAATCGATCATACACACGGTTAGGATGTAACGCTGCTTCATTCAAAGTGCTTCTGTAAGCGGGAATCACCATTTTGCCATTTTCGCAGGGCAAATCCTCCAGAATAATGAGTCCCTTGAGTGTGGCGGGAGAGGCGGGTGGACAGGGACGTGGGGGAATCACCATTCTGCCATTTTCAAAGCCTGAATCCTCCAAAATAGTGATTCCCCCGGGATGTGATTCCCCGGCGTGTGGCGGGACAGGGCGGGACGCAGAAATTACAAAGCATGATGGAGAACTGGACTCCGGACATGTGTTCTGCAAAATCTCCTGCCCCAATCACTTTGCCTTGCAACACCGTCCACGAAAAAAATCTGATAGCAGCCTCCGGTACGGTCTTGTCTTGGCTGGGGTCAAATGTCTCATCGTCCGGCTTCGTAGCAATAACCTGCATGTTTTAAATGGAGCTCACTGATGCTGATATGTGCTGCTGATGCATGATGTGTGCTTCTGCTGCTCATGCCTTGTCGTGGTGAGGCTTTCATGCCTGGTTTTCATGCGCTGTCGTGGTAAAGTTGTTTTTCTGTCGTGGGGCCAATATTTCTTGTCATGGCGTGGATTCTTTTTTGCTGTCGTGGCAACAACGCGCTCTCCGATCAAGCACCTCTCTGCTGGTTTCAGGCACTTCAAACGGTCATCGCCGAAGTGTCCTGGCCTGCTAGCACTTTGTGGGTGGCTCTATGATGGCCAGGTAGCTCTTGAGGGCCGGGATCTCTTGTTGGAAGTGAGCCAAAGCTCCAAGGCCCGAGGCCGCCCTAGGTACTAGGCACCCCGTTCTTCCAAGGTGAACCGGCAGATCCAGCTGCTCAGCTCAGAAGCATGGCCTGGCGCCCCAGCGTTTGGGGCTAGGGCACACCTGTGTCTCACCTGTCCTGGGTGAAGGATGGTCTAGGATTTCACAACCGCCACTGCTTGGACTTGGACTCTCTGCTCGGCACCTGCCGCCCCCGTAGGCTGATCTTGGGCTGCACAAGGTACAGCACGTGGGCTGCTTCAACTGGGTGCATCACACAGGCCGGCTCGACACTCTTCGGATCTTTTCCACTACGTCACTTTGTGGATTTGGCCCGTTGGTCCACTGATGACAGGCCATGGCCGGTCTGGCATCGTCGCTGCAGCTGCAGCCTTCACTCCTCGGCTTGGGAGGCGAGTGCTAAGACTGCCTTGCCAAAATGCCGAGAAGTACAGAAGCAAGGGCTTTCTGAGCCGTAGTGTTCAGGCTAGGCTTCCGGTCAATGCCTCTCTGCACTCTTGCAGCGCACGCGGCAGGTCAGGCCTTAGCGAACCCGGGGATCGCCACGATGATGCAGGCTGGGCCGATTCAGCAAGCGTCCATGCCTGACCTTCAAGTCGTGGCGCCACGGTTCTAGATTTCCGACTGTCCACAGATCGTCCAGCATTGACAGCTTCGTGCAGAAGTTTAGCTCGAGCTGTGTTGTGTATTTTTTGGCAGGTTGCACAAAGCATGCCTCCGTACGTGATGGAGGACAAGTGTGGAAATTCCAGCTTAAGGCTTCCTGCCTTGGCTGAACCTGTCGTTCCTCGCCAAGCTAATGTTGCCCCTGATCACCGTTGCGTTTCTGCCCTTGGCATTCTTCCATCCTCGCTTTGTGCAGGACTCCCGCGGCTTCGCGTTGAGCTGTGTGGTGCCAAACCGTCTAGCCACTCCGGTCAGAATGGTATATACTTCTGTCCAGCTGGCGATGCTCTCCCTCGCTTTCATAATTCAGATTCTCCAGGGTCCCTGTTGAGAATGGAACTTTCCAACTCCAGTATTGAATTGGCGCCTTGACTTCGCGAGTATGTGTATTTGTAGTCTGTATTTCCTGCAGGTAGCAGCACCGCAACTTCAACAACACTTCGTAGGTAAGGTCGTGGACAGTGCTCCTGGGGTACGTGGTGTCTGTTTTAACGAAAAGGGAAAGGCTGGAGTGCTCCAGGAGCATGCTTCGATCCCAGGTTGGAGGGCTGATTGGGCGCGGGGGCTCCGGGACCAAAGAGGCCTTGCAGTGTCTGTTTGGGGTCTCAGTGCTGTGGGTTTGGCATGGAAGCATCTCGTGTGGTGTTGGCAGGCAGACGTCACCTTTGAAGGCTCAAACCAAACTCCCCCCAAAGATCAACATCGGTGTTACTTAACACGATTGATGGAAGTGCTTTGAAACTCATGGCGGGTTCATGCATGAGTTCAGGGGGGGAAACAGAATAGAAGACAGTTAGGCACAGTTTCAGGCCGCTTCTTTTCCGAGGCTATCTGTGTATTTGTCACATGCAGCATCATGCTCCGATTTCGCATCGAGAAGTAACAATGGCTGTTCGCTTCGGAAGCACTGCCACAGGTTCAGATGCTGACCGGTACCAAGATTGGAATCCGAGAAATTCCGGACGACCCGGACAATCGCTCGCTGAATATAGCCACCAGGCTGATGTTTCGAGATATTCAGCTGCCCTTCCCAGCTTGTGTCTGGATGTTCAGGCTGAAAGGTCTCTTCGTGCCAAGTTAGGTATAACTTTAGCTTTTGGGTAGGCGCGAATGCTTGCTTCGACCCAGAGCTTTTATGGTTTCAGGCTAGGTGTGTAGGCGATGCCACATGCCGGACGGATTTTGGCGGTGCTTGCTGCTGCTCAGCAGGGCGGCGGATGGTGGCTAAGGGCTGCAAACAGCACCAACGCTACAACCGCTGAGTCAGGAGGTCGTGATGACTCCAGATGGGCTCAGCTTCGCGCATGGGCTGAGGAAGCGGTGCCCTCCAGCGAGGCTTGGTTGGCATGGGCTTCTTGGCCCGACTCGTCAGGCACGCCGGAACGAGCTTGGTCCTGGGACAGCGGCCTTTGCATGGCGCTGGACACGGCAGTGAGCTTTGTGGGATGGGTGCTTTTCGGAAATTCGTGGCCGGGCGTGAAGAACGGGTGCCAGCGTGCCTTCCGCATCTTCGCTTTGCTGGCTTTATGTATGGGGGCCCACTACTTGTGGGCTCTGTGCTGGCCTGTGGTGTCCCTCCTATCGGTGGTCGTGATGGGGGTGATATGGCTTGTGCGGATGATTGTGAGGAAGCTGGGCACCCTAATCTACTGGGCCCAGCGTGCGGCCGGCGGCGTTCCCGAGGCCTCCGATGCTGAGTTCTTAGGCCCTGGCACAGGCCGGATCCCCGAGACCGCGGACCTCCGCTCCTTCAAGAAGGTGGGCGCCGCAGAGAAGTGGATTCTTGTGAAAAGGGAAGGCCATGTGGCTGTCTTTCGAGCAGGGAGCGAATCACAGACGATCCGATCTCCGGGTCTCTACGTGCCGGTGGAGGCCGACTCCATGCGGGGCGACAAGGAGATTGTGGACGCTTGCAAGGGCTACGACAAGGTGCACCTGTGTCGGCACTTGGTGTGTCATGAGGAGGGCCAGCACTTCAAGGAGTATGGACTGGCCCGGGACTTCGACGGTGAGCGCTTTCACCTTCGGAACGCCGAGCTTGGCGCGGAGAAGGCGGGCCGGACTCTGTGGAAGTGGCTTTGGTCCCCTTCGGCAAAGCCCGTGAGGGTCATGAAGGAGTTCGGGTCGGAGTCGGAGACAGAGCCAGCTCGGGGCTGCGGGGCCCATCGCGTGGCCTGGGTGGACAAAGACGGCGACTGCAACTTGGCGAGCCAACCCTGCAAGGCGACCGGGACTACGGTGTGCGACTTGCTCTTTGAGGACAAGCTGGACGAGCGTGGCACCGTGGACCTGTGCCCGCAGCACGCCTTAGACTACGAACGTCGCCGCAGGACTCAGAAGTGCTACCAAGGCGGATGTAATCGTGTCGGCTTTGTGGAAGACGGAGGCGACGGAGTTCGTCGTTGCCGCCATCACGCCGCACCGGCCCCTCGGCGTTCGAGTTCGAGGAGGAGATCGCCAGCGAGGCCGGCGGTCGCCCTTTGTGAACAAGACGATCCGGAAGAACCCGAACTCCCACCTCGCGGCAGGGGCGATCTTCCAGATGCGCGTGATCTTAAGCGGCTACTGGCAGAGGTGAAGTCCGAGACCTTCGAGGAGCCACCGAAGCGAAGCCGGGAGCGATCCCCGGGCTGTACTCCGCGGTCAAGCATCCACAAGAACCTCGCAAAGCTGGGCCTGCTGGACTCACCGGCGCGCGACCACCCTGTTCCTTTGCTGGAGGAGTTCTTCAACCAGTACGCGGAGGGCCGTGAGATTGGTCTGACGGAGGAAGAGGTCAGGAATGCGTTGGCGGCCGAACGTGGCATGTCGATGAAGGAGATCACTCAGGCCCTGGTCAGCCAAGCGGTTGCTGAGCAGGAGAAGGGGCAAAAGGGGCTCACCAAGTTCGTCAGGGCCTGGCAGAGGCCGTCCACGAGGTTGTCCTCTCCTTCGAGTACGGCCCGCAACAGTTCGGCACCTTCCTGGGAGGTGGTGGAGACGTCACCGGAGAAACCGGGACCTTCGGCAACCTCTGAGAAGACGACCCCGACGGCACCACTGCGGATCGGCAAGCCGGGCATCTACAGCGTGGGCGATCGCAAGGCCGGGGCGGGCGACCCGGGACCTGCACCGTTCGAGGAGATTGCCAGGGCCATCCAGTCGCAGACGGCGGAGATCGCATCTTTGGTGAAGTCACACACGGAGAACACGGCGGTGCCCCCTGGAACAATCAAAGGATTGAACCGGACTTCCGAGGAGCTGATCTTCTTGCTCCGCGCGTGCAACCAGTACCAGGTGACGGTCGGAGCAGGAGAACAAGGACAGGCCCTCGCCAACGCGTTGCTCTCGGCGCAGGTCGGGGCTTCTACGAAGTTGCGCAAGGCGGGCTTCAAGCAGAAGGTCACGAATAGGCTGGCCATAGGACTCGCGGGGCCGTACTGGGGTACTCAAGAGAAGCACGCACTCAACGCGGCCGACTTCGTCCCGCACACTGATGCCGAGCTCGACGCCTTCGTGCAGGAGATCCGCGCGAACAAGCCAGGGGCGGATCAGCGACCGGCCCCGCCTACCAAGCTCGAGGACTGGGAGGGCAGGGTGCGCCGACAAACTGACGTCTGGGCCCTTGTGTACGGTGAAGAGTGGAAACCTGTAAAGTCCCATGCACTCGAGCTTCTTCTTGAATGGCACCAAGCAGAACCACACAAGTGGCCTTTGTCCGTCCTGATGGAGGTCTGGGAGGAGCTCCACTGGAGGTTCCTGGAGGAGCTCAAGGAGATCCTGAGACTGCTCAAGAAGGAGGCGGGCCGCGAGACCATGTCACTGGCCGACATTAAGTTCTATGCCTTGCTTCCGAATGCGGGGGGCACTGCTTGGTTGGAGTTGCCGAGGACCTTCGACCTCCGCTTTCCCGAGGGCTGGTTCATGACGGAAGTTTTGCCTAGGATTGAGCGAAAGCAGGAGAGGATGCTTTGGCGACTCACGTGGGAAGGCACCAGAGGCCCAAAACCTTCGGCGCACGCTGGAGGAGATGGGAAACCGGACCCTCCTG